CAAAATATGCCATAAGAAAAGAAGTGTAATTGCAATAATTTGCTTCCTGAAACATGTAATTTCTCTTCAGAATTTAACAAGCTCATTTTGCAATGAATGCTCCGAATTACACAATACATGTTAACGGTATAATTTCATGCAGTTACAAAAAAGACTGAAAATGCGTTTTCTCGTTAATTTTTCAATATATGCAATTTAGCTTTGTTGGTTTCAGTTGCTTCTGATTTATCCATCCTTGTATACTTTGTATTGTACAAATCCGTAAATTGAAAGTCTAAATACTATTTTAACTCTTTCAGTTCTAAATTTAAGAAATGTTTACGATTGAAACAAAGCGTTGGAATTTATTTTGGAATGGCGTTCGAATTTATAATTAAGCATTGAAAACAAAACTTTTATTTTAAAAAGCGTTGTTTTGGAATTTATATTCATTTTAAATGAGGCCTGGTGGCGCAGTGGTAGCGATTCTCGCAGCAGCACCGCAGATCGGGGCTCGATCCCCGGGCTGGGCGAGGTTGATTCAGCCTTTCAGCCCTTAAATGAGTCGATAAAATGAGTACCATGTTCGCTTTGGAACTAAACACCCGGGGGGGGCCCTTGCGACAAGCTGTACACTTGTCCAGGGTATATGTTTGTGCAGCCCGGGGCGCACAGTCAAAAAAGCAGATATTAGGGCATTGTAAGACTATTACGCCACTACGAACTGTTACGCCATTCTAAATTTATTTAGTTAAATTGAAAAGTAAAATTAATTATGCCACATAGTCATTTCTAGAATTTGAATGAAGGTTGAGAAATTTTCCGATATATCTTCTTTAATTTCTACAAATTAAAATTTAAAAAAAAAAAAATTAGGTTTTTATAAATATAAATTTGATTTAAAATTGTTCATAAGAATAAATTTATGCATTTACTGCTCTTTTTAAAATTCGACTTTTGGAAGAAAAAAAAAACGCTAATAATTTTTGATAGTGTGCAATTAAACCTTAGTTTCACTAAATATCAAAAATCGCTTTTAGCAACTGTCCTAAAATATTTTTCACTTTGGATAGCCTTTTAGTTAAGCTGAAAATTTAATAATACTCCGAGCAAACTGGAAATTATAATTTCTTCCTTTTAACTCAACTGCAGAAATACTACGCTTAAAAATGTTAGTGTGTTGAATAACTTTAAATAGCACCAGAAGGTGGTTATTAAGCATATACTGCAGTGTGAGAAACTTATCTGAAATAATTATATCATGCTCTTGGAAACATAAAACCATCTTTTAAAATTCGAAGCACTATCAATAATAATACAATGAAAACCCTCACGATAAATAAATTTTGCCTAAAATTATTATTTCTGAAAGTATTCAACATTTCTGACGACGTAATTAAAAAACCGTTCTAGACATAATGTTATCCCCTATACAGAACACAGAAATCATTTAAAGCCATGAGGAGTTTTCTTTTTGAAGTTTTTCTTCATTTGAATCTCAAAATGTTTACTTTTTCTTCTGCTAACTAAATGGTAATTATAAAGGGCTATAGTATTAAAAATTGTGACTTGATTTGAAATAAAAGAACTTAAAAAACGTACTACTGTTAGGGTCACAGGATATGAGGTGTCCGCTTCCGTTTCACAACGGGGCAACTAGCAACAGGTTAAATATAAAGCATTGTTCTTTTCCCACTGTTGACCAGAAAGTAAAAGTATGTAATACTTTTAAATAATAAACTTTGGATCATTAACGGAGTTTTAATCATTAATATGCATTTTCAGAAATAGATCTTAAAACATTTATTCCCGATAACTGGAAATACTTTTATTTTATTTTTCCCTTCAAAGCCTATGAATGATTTGTAACGACTTAGTAATTAAAAAAAAACTTCATTTTCATTCTTGTTACATACTAACTGAAAACGTTATATCTAATATCAGCCATCGAGACTATTAAGATCCTCATCAGAAGACTGTCCTACTGAAGACCTTTCAGTCAAATATGTTGTACTAAAACCAAACTATAAAGTATTATTTTTGCATGGCTATATGAATCAAAGACCAAACTAAGGTTTAGAAAATGTTGTTTCCAAATTGTTACGTTGTTCAAAGATCAATTAAATACGAACTTCAAAATTGTTAGCAAGCTGTTTAATGTTATCTCAATTTTTCGATTATTTCCCAACTGTTAAGATTCTGATACAGTGAAAAATATTATGAAATTCTTTAATTTATGAAACATTTCATCAGATTTTGATAGATGATTCGAAAAATTAGAAGCTTAAAAAGTTACACTTTCTTTCTTCAAGTCGTTCTTTAGTTCTTTTCATTACAGACTTTAAAATTTCTTGGAAAATTATGTATCTTATTAAATTTATTCATTGTTTTTCCTTATGTGAAAAGCAAAACTGTTAACAGTTTAAAGCCCAGATGTTTTATTATGCTTTTCGATTTCAAGAAGAGATATTTATAATTTAAATTACGCATTAAAAATTATTAACGTTGTTGTCTTTTGTGATTAATTCTATTATGTTTCTTGCTTTTGAATTATGATTTTTTTAATTCAGTTTTAAAGAAATCGTTTTTGCTATTTTAAGTTGATGATATTTTGAAGGAATTCCCGAATATTCCTCTTTTGCTATTAGATGCAAATTATCTGGCAATTAATAGTTTTATATTTTGATTAATATTTTTAAACATTTCCTACAGAGCAAAGTGTTTTAAAATTTGGGTAAATTTCTTGTCCATTATGAAATATTTAGTTTTTTTTCACCGATAAATTTGAAAGTTATGTAAGGTTATTAATGAAGTGTCAGTAGTCTTGAGAAAAGAAATGTGTTACTGAAAGCATAAAATATTTGTTTCGTAATTTCGTTTAGAATGTTGCTTTTTAATATAAAAATATTACTATAAAAGTTAAAATCATTTATATCCGAAAATTTAATGTTACGTTTATGAAACTGTAAATGATATCTGGCAAAATTCTTAGGAAATTAACAGTGCGTTACAGTGACCTGAAATGCTACTAAATACTTTGCATTCGGAAATTTCGTATAGATTTCAGAGTTTTATCATTCTGATGTATTATTCTATAGATTACATTAAGTTGTTAATTTACAGTAAAACATGGTGGGGCCCGGAACCACAGAGTATAGTAATAGAATTTTTATAAAAAGTTAGGGAATATCACAATACTTTTATCAGAAAAAATTGGAGAACTAACACGTAATTTATTTCGGTATTAATTGTATCAAAAAAACACTTTCGGTTTTTAAAATAATTGATAATAAACTCATAAACACACAAAACATATTTGTTTATGTTTATTGCAAAAACAGCTGGAATTCTAAATTTTTTTCTTATTAGCGTAAATATGACGATTACATTCGTTACGTCAAGTTTCCTACGAGATCTTCGAAAATGTTTAATTGCTTAAATTGGACTAGAAAGTCTAATATAGTACATGAAATACTATGAAAAAAAAATAAAAGTATTAATACTTATATTTTTCCCTCAATGATAGCAAAGTAATAGTCAATGATAGAAACATAATAGTCAATAATAGCAAAGTAAGGTTTATATTGTTTTCAGACAAAGATAAAGACCGACGATACCAATTGAAAACAACTTCATCACCACAGTGGCTGGCTGAAAGAATCCGCTGAAGAAACACATTAAGTGAATCTTTTCCAGCACATTTCCCCGCCCGCCACTATTTCTAATGCAATACTCTATTAATTTCCAGATATTTATAAAAATCTTTTCTTTTCAGACAAGAATCAAGATAAATAGAAATGTTAATTACTTTTCGTTTGGGAATATTTGTGACATCATTACACTAAAAAAGACTTTAAATTTTTTTTCATTATAAATATTTATTTATATTTTTAGAAATTAAAATGCAATTAAATATCAAGCAATTCTGATACTGTCGTTTCATTATCATTAAAAATGCAAAAACAATAAATTTTCAAATTTATATAGTCTTAATAAATTAAAATTATAGTATACACATACTTTTTTACGTTATAAAAATTGAAGGAAATTCCTAATTTTTCCTCGAGAGGAATATAACGAAACTCATTCACAATTAGCGTTTGATACAGATAGGAAGAATCTAACATACTTTGTTCTCTTCATGTTGAACTGCATATTCATAATATTTTTAACTGAATATCCTAATATTTTTTCAAGCATATAAAATATCCAAAAGCCTCTTCCAAAAAAAAAAAAAAAAAAAAAGAGATTTTTTTCCTAGAAATTCACAAAATTTTATTTTGTCATTCATTTAAGAGCTCCACTGAGTTACAATTTATTGATAAATGCAAACGTTTAGAACAACAAACTGTGGAAAACGTTTATTTCCTGGAACTTAAAATTCATTCTAATACATGTAAAATACCATAAATCAATAAGGTTAATAGGGAAATTTTATAAATGAAAATCCCGATAGAATTCTTATTTTTCGAAATTCTTATTTTCTGGTAGCAAATCAGAATTATTAATTTATTATTCTGAGTCTGTGAAATAATGCCTAAATATAATTTTTGAAACAAAATACTGACGGTTTAGGTAAGAATTAAACGACATTATTGTCAACCGAAATGATGCAAAATATTTTAAAAACAAAACGACTTCTAAAAATCTTAAAATTTCACCTCTTTTATCCGTTATTCACACATTCGGACAATCTGACCAGTCTAAATAAGGCGAAAACATTTTGTTTCGCTACTTCATATCCAGTTTCTTTCACTGGAAAATTTGAGAAGCAAAAAACTCCCCTCGCCCATACTCAAACCATAAAATTAACCATATTTCGAAGACCTCAAAATATTAAATTTAAAATAAATAACTTAATTGTTGAACTACGATTAGAGAATAACAGCCAGGGGAAAATACAATTTTAATTCATAGTGTGCTGAAAACACTTCTGGAACTTTAGATGATAGAGCACATTTTGGCCATAATATGAATGTTGATCGAGGGCAATAACAATGAGAGCAGTGGGAATCGCTTACCTGGCGGCAAGAGAAGAAAGCGGAAAATGGAAGAATGAATCCGGGAAAGTCAAAGGAGGAGTCAAAGAAGGTGGCTTCAGGCGGAGCAACTGGTCTCGGAGCGAGTCGGCAGTCGTGTTAAATAGGGGCAGAAGGGGGGCTCCCCTCGGCTGCCGCAGCCGAGAAGAGAAGACCAGCCCAACACCCACGCACTGTGCGCCGGCGACTGCCATTCGCTCCATTTCCCCTTTGGTTTTCCCCACAGTAGGGAAACTTCTCCATTCCGCCTTTCCCGGACGAAACGACTGTCAAACGCCCACGCACTTGTTACCTTCATCCGCAGCTTCCCCATTCTCTTACTTTTGCTCTCCGGAAAGTTCGGTAGTTCTATTTCTCAAACTCGCGAGTCCATGCGGCTCTTCTAAGAATATGTGGGCTGCAACATCAAAAATGCTTTAAATGCGTTCTTTTCTATTCCTGAAATACAATCGTTTTATCCACTCTTTTAATCTATATTTAACCTTAATCATTATTAAACTTTGATTTTTGTGTTCCCGATTTTGGAAAACAAGCAACTGGTAGAAGAACCGCAGATATTCCTTCAAATCTCTCCTCATGAAAGAAGTTATTCTAGATGAATATAAATTTGATATATCAAGAAAGAAAATTATGTTAACTTACGAAAATGCTTTTTCATTTACTAAATGCTTGAATTCGAGCACAGGTAATCCCAGTAAGTAAAATACATCTCATTTTGAATTTCGTGTTAGACAGTAATTTATGTTATTTTATTTATTAATGTTATGAAGACAGTAATTTATAATTTTTTTTATTACATTTTTGAATGGAATAGGAAAATTTAGATTGCGCATATATTTATTGTCATTCTCATAATTACATAAAAATTAAGATTCAGAATACCGAGCAGAAAATTCATTTCTGTAATACTCATATGTTCAGTTCTGCAACATAAGGAACGGTTTGGTTTATGTGATTACGGCAAAGCCTCGAGGGCTATATGCTTAAGGAAAAGGATGTATTCGTGGAGCATTTTCTAAGGTAAACTAGCTCGTATACTCCTTAAGGGGTGTTGGAACCTCAAAATCTTAAAAAAATTGGGATTTCTGATTTTTGCATTTTCAAATTCCCTACACTTTTATCTTTCTAAAAATACCATTCTTTAATCTCTATGATAATTAGAACTGTAAAAAATCTAGTTTTAATTTGCCATCGAATGCTTTGATAAATGAGGATATTTACATAAAAACGCGGTTTTCTCCATACGTGACTTTTCTATACTCGATGTACCTTTTCTCAGGAACTACTGCTCACAGGTATCTAAAACGTTTATTTTTTATTTATTAGGTTTCCTAATATTTACTGAAATGAGCATTTTGCGATCAACTAAGGAAAACTATTTAAAAAAAATTTTGGTGTGAGAAAAGTGTTAAATTATACTATGTCTAACAAAATATTCTGTAAATTACTCTAAAATTCAAAATTTTTCAAAAGCTCATTTCAGTATTATCAGATAGGGATACTTTAATTACACAAAAAATTTCAAGCATGTATCTACAGCAGATTTAGAGAAAAGGTACATCTAAAATGTCGGTATAGGGGTTTCTGATACCCTTTAACACGGGTAAAACCACGAAAACTCCCATACAGCCAGCCCGTTCGTGTGATTCAAACCACGGACCGAACTACCAGTGTTTAGCGACTTTACCTCTCGGTCGCCGGTGGGCCCATAAAGAATGGACGCATGAAAATGAATGGGAATTGGGCAACTAAATAACATTGACTTTTTTATACTATATCACGGCTGTAAAACTGGCGGCCCGCGAGTACATTTTACTATGAATAAATTTATGATACTAAATTATTATTTTTAATATTAAAATAATTTTACTGTGTGAAAATTTAAATCTAATTTGAATTTAAAGTAGGTACTATTTAGTTTGCGTAACTTCACTTAATCTGGCTGAATACAGCAGCAATCCGTTTAAAGTCTGATGACGATTGGCTCATTGTTGGTGCCACATATTTTATTTGTGGTTGGTTGTTGTTTATCTATGGTTGGCGCACGTGATGCGCACACTACCCTACGCTATTTGGTTCATTCATGCAATCGTGCGAGTGCAGTCTTGTCTAGAATTTATGAGGGGTGACTGTGTTATAATATTAATTAACTTAATTTCATATTATTTATTATTAAAATAATTATTGAATATGAGTGTTTCTAATAAAAGAAAAATAGACCTCGAAAATCGAGAATTTCAAGATCTCTGGGAGATAGATCATTTATTTATTCTGAACAAGAATGGTAAGCCACAGTGTTTGGAATGTTTACAAATCATAGCTGTGTCTAAAGAGTATAACTTGAAGCGCCATTATCTTTCCATGCATGAACAAAAGTATCATTCGTACACGCAAGACATGAAAATACCACTAGTGAGAAAAATGAAAATGCAGATGGATCATCAAATGATTTATACTAATCAAGAACCAAAATTTCAAGAAGCATCTGTAGCTGCATCGTTTGAAGTTTGTTTAGAAATTGTAAAGGCAAAGAAGCCATTTTTGGATGGAGAATTCATTAAAATGTATGCCATAAAAATGGCTCAACCATTTAATGACAAGGAAATGGTAAGAAAATTTCAAAAAGTATCACTTTCTCACCAGACGGTAAGCCGACGTGTAAACGAGATTAGCATGCATGTCACTAATAAATTAGAAAACCTAATCAATAGTTGCTGCTATTTATCGGTAGCATTGTGTGAAAGCGCGGACATTTCCGATACAAATCAACTGCTTATTTTTATAAGAACTGTAAATGAAAACTATAATTATTCAGAAGAACTTTTAAAATTACAATCATTACTCGGAACAACAAAAGGTGAAGATATTTACAAACAATTAAAATGTTCAGTAGAGCAGTATGGCGGATTTGACAAGTGCACTGCTATTGTAACCGACGCTGCTAGAGCTATGACGGGCAAAAATATTGGGCTCGCGGAAGGAATAAAAAAATTGCAAAAAGAAGGAATAACATGTCATATATTACACTGTATTATCCGTCAGGAGGCATTATGTGGTTTATCCCTACAACTAAAAGACGTAATGGACAAGGTTTGCAAAATTACTAATTTAATTCGTGGCGGAAATCGTTCTCTTACACACCGAAAATTTAAAACATTTGTGGATGAATTGAAAACTGAGTATGGAGATCTGCTTTTACATAGTAACGTTCGTTGGTTAAGTGCCGGAAAGTGCTGGAGGAGATTCTTTACACTAGGAGATTCTTTACTGCTGGAGGAGATTTAAAAGAAGTTCATCTTTTTCTCACAGAAATCACCGTGGATGAAAATTTAACAGCAAATTTAGTTGATAAAAATTTTATTTATTCACTTGCTTTCCTAATGGACATTACAAATAATTTAAATATTTTAAATAAATCCTTGCAAGAACAAGATCAAAATGTGTGTTGTGTTATATGTGTGTGTGAAATATGTTACTGGATTTAGAAACAAATTTAAATTGTTAAGGTTTAATTTAAAGCAAAATAATTATTTCATTTTGAATCTTGCAAAGAGATCTATGAATAAATGAAGGAATGTAATATAGAAGCGAAATTTAAATTATTTCTACCACACTTTTATATGCTAATTATAGATTTTAATGAAAGATTTTTCTTAATTTAATCATCTTAAACCGTCTAATTATTTATTTTGTGACCCAATTAATATTGATATCAACTCCGTTGATCTTAAATATCAAATAGAATTATGCGACTGCAGGCTACCCATTGTTTACATCTTGTGGAGTAACTGGAATAGAAATATTCAAATTTTTAGATAAAGAGAAATATTCTAAAATTGAGAGATGGACTTCAAATGGTATCATTTCTGAAGACATATATCTGCGAGCGTGCATACTCCGAAATATATAAAGTCAAAATATAGAAACAGTTTGAAAGATTCCACTCTTGAAGATATAATTAGACTTGCCACAACAAATATTGATGTGGACATAAAATATATTGTTGCCAAACAATTACGGCCACAATGGTCTCATTAATATATTACGAATATTTTAAAATTTTCTTTTTAGCATAAATAAAATATTTTTTTTGATTACGTAAACTAACTTTTCATTTATCAACCTGTTTGTTCCCCGAAATGTTTGGTGAAGAAAATATGGCTCGCGGACTATGATAAGTTTGACAGCGCTGTACTATATGATCATCAAACCGTGTATAAATTATATGAAAAAAAATATGATTTCATGATATCCAACTATTCAAATCTGAGTAGACAGATCATAAAATATTGCTATCAAATTAAGAATTAAATGAATTTTTATAATATGCGTTCTGAGATGTTAACAGATAATTGATAATCAGGAATAATGAGAATCATATGCAATAAAGAAAAGAGAGGTTCTAAATTTAGTATATATTATTCGGCAATTACATTGGAACCAGGAAATAACATATATAAATGTTCCTAACAGGAAATTCAAGAATCAGATATAGATAAAACAGAGAAATACAACACATTTTGACACTGTCAAGGTTAGGTTTTTTGTCAGTAATTAACTAGGGAAGTAATTTTAGTTATCCCTGTTTACTACTATGTTCATATTTAGGATACAAGTTTTGTGAAATATTATTTGAAAAATTTCGTTTATCCCATATAAGCGTTCTTTCCACAAAACACTTCGGCGAAAGATGAAGCGGTAATAGTGCATTCTTCTTTTACACTGATTTATTTACTTGTTTCGGTTAATTCTAGAAAAATAAAACACTAAGATTCTAAGAAGCATCTCACTTTTAGGGACTCTTATACGAAAAATATGGAGTGCCCTGGAAAAGAAGACACTCAGTCTTTTCCATATAAGTGGTTCTTTCCACAAAACAGTTCATCGAAAGAAAAAGCGGTAATAGTGCATTATTTTTTTACACGGATTTATATATTTGTTTCGGTTAATTCTAGAAATTAATTTATTTCACCCTTGCACGAATCCTATTTTTTAAAAATCCTTTTCGCAGAGATAAATTTGCGATATTCTAGTGCACATTTTTAAGCTATATGATTTTTTTTACGCATCTTTGTTTAATGAGCAAATTAATTAACACAGCATTTCGATTTTGATCTAAAATTAAC